CAACAGTTCCAATCGGCCAGTCGCGCTCGTTTTTTTTCACAAGCGACTCGCGTTACCCTGGAAGCACGATTCCGTACCCTTCAGTGACTCTTTTTCCCTTTTCTCTTTTCATCCCTCGCCTATTTTCCTCTGCGCGCAGCTTCGTCTCGCTTTACCTTTCTACTATTCCTTCCTTTTTTTTCCATTAGCCGCGTCGAGCGGTAATTTCAGGCGGAATGGCAGGAAGAGAGGAACGGAGAAGAGAAGAGGCACGGAGGGAAATAGGGAAAAATTTACTCGTTATTGCAGGCACGAATCTTGCGGCGGAATTATCGGATTTGTTCGGCGGACTCGTATTACCAGCAGCGTTCCGGGCTCGGAGAAATCATAAGCAAGACCCGGCTGGCGAACGTCGTGAATCGATATTGCGGCTGCTCTTTCGCGGCCCTTGTCTCTGTCTTTTTTTCGTTTATTTTTCGGTTTCTCTTTTTCCTTTTTGCCCTCGCTCCTCCGTCGATTTCCTCCACTCTCTCGCCCTGCTACGCTCGAGTCACGAATCCCACGCGTATTCGGTTTTTAGCGTGGCAAGCGATATCGAACGGTCGTCCCGGGGATTTCTCGCTAATAGCGAGAGCTCCGAGATCGAGCGTGACGACGATACGCGGCCTCAGCTCGAACCGGTGCGATGAAAAGTGGCTCGGCGCTTTATTCGTGATTTGAACCCCTTAACCCCTTGGCTAAGGCAGAATTTTGCGTCAGCGCGCGATGTCTGAGAAAACGTATGGGAAACCATCAAATCAATGGATTGAACTAAATCATACCGATATAAGATAATTACATTTGTTAAGACGTAATTGTTTAATTAGAATTCACTTACGTCTAATCTAAGCGAGCTTTGCTGCAATTATTGTCAAAAACGTTTTACAGGCGCCAACAATACACCGAAACAAAAGTTTTAAACGCGTCAAGTGCAACAGTAGCCAGGGGGTCAACCAGGTAATTATGGTGACCTCTGTGAAAGATGTGCACTTCAATTCGCACTATATATATCGTTTTTTATAATATTTTTTTTTGTTCGTTTCATTTCGTCTTGTTCTTCGAGTATTTTGAACATCTTGAAATTTACGAATATATTCTGATATTTACTAAAACTTCGACTTAAGTAGCAACTACTTTTAGGTAACTACCTTTTCCGCGTGACGAGTATACTCGTAGTAACACAAAATATTGCAATCTCTTCATTACGAGGATACTTGTTGATCACAGCTAGCTGGTTAATTGGCGAATTTTCTCGGTAAACTATATTATTCGCGAACCTCGAATCGTGTGTTAATCTTGTTCCGATTCTATTATGAACATGAAATTGTTGCTAATTTTTGGTGACAAAAGCTTTTCGTTGATAGAGAAAAACTAAACCACAGTTCTGAATTTAAAGAAATTAATAAGGTTTTGTTACTAAGAAATTGCTTAATTTGTACTAAGGAGTTACTAAGGAGGCTTCGAACTCATATTTTGTTATTTTATTTCGCTTTTCTTATTACTGCAGAACATTACGTTAACTGAACAGTCGAACAACGCAAAGACCGTAAAAAAAAAAGATAATAGTAGAATATTCAGATAGTAAGGGTACGTACCGAATCCCATACCCCGATTTTGATGAAACTCAGCGAAAGAGGGACCTCAGTAGAACATTCAACAAGCAATGTTTCCTTTTCAATAATCGAAAATATAGTTTCTAGAAGAAGTGTTTTCAACAAATTCCGAGTCACCGAGTCAGAAGTTCGATCATACGAAGAAGAGTGAAGAAGAAAACATTTGTTAAACAGCACACTGAACATTTGAATCTTTCGTTTTCGTCTCGTTCAATGCGAATATTGTTATTCCTCATTTTTTATTTTAATCTTCATCGAACACTTTTCTGAATCCGAACAGTGTGATTAGCAGTATCTTAGGAAAAAAAGAAATCGCGCGGAATAATGGCGGAATCTTGTATCAGCCGCGAGGGAGGTTTAACCCGGGATTTCAACAGGGTGCAGAAAGAAGTAATTAAAATTTTAATTAATCCAAATAAATCGACGGACGTAGAGGTGGCTGAAGAATGGACGGGCGTCGTACACGCGTTTCACATTAAGCCGGCCAGCGACGATGTGTTCGTCGCGGCGCGGGAACTTCGGGAACCTATTACAGACAGCGTGTCGGCCATGAAACAATCGCCTCGCAGATGAGCGAGGTTTCTATCGATTACGCGAATTAAATTACGTGCCGTGCCGCGATGTAATAAATCGCTCATCAGTCATATTTCATTTTTATTGAGCAGCCGGTCCCCGGCTTTTTTCGACAAACGCCGTGAGCCGCCGACAAGAACCGAAATTTCCCGGCCGCCGGAAGAAAGCAAACCGACCCAATTTTCTCTCACGGTTTTGCAAAACCAATCGTACACCGTAATCTTCTTGTGTCCGCCGCGGTCACTGACCGAAACTTCGGAATTAGTTTAGAATTTTGAACGTCGTATTGGAACTATCAAACTAGTTATAACGTGCATCGAATTCCTTGTGTCGCAATTATTGGTGTAAAAGTGACCTTGCGAGATGTTATCGCGAGACTTAATTTGCGTACTTGCTGCGCGTTGTGTGATAATATGTGTGCGAAATCTGATTTCATTGTACTTTGGGTACTTCTAATGGAAATTATTAATCTAATATTGAAATGAATCCGAATAACTAGAAATAATTGTGCTAATGAGACAGTACGAGACTCTTCAAATTCATAGATAATTACATAAATTATAAACTGATGTAATTAAAAATTGTACTACTACTCTTTAAGTTTCACTCAGTGCTTGTTGTTTGATTTCATTTCCACTAAACGTTAAATCCAAATATAACTCATCACATTCCTTGTACCTTTCACATTACACACAATAATAGAGTATTTCTTATTTTAATAACTTCATTGTCACATTACAAGAACTGCAGTTCAGTGAAACAGAGGAAGAATGAGAAGAGAAACGATTACCATCCTTCAAAAGTTCAACGATCATCGAGAGTTTATTTTATTTAAGTTTTCATTTTAATCCCTTGATGTACAATTTTCTTCGCGATTAAGTTCGCCTAACAAATTTTACTACCAATAATTAGGTAAACAAACAAATGTTCTATTCATTTTCTCGAAGGTAAAAATATTGACATTGGCAACATAATTTTCTACTTCTACCTGTGTATAATAAATAACATTGACTTTCATTAAATTATTCTAAAAATCTCGACTACCAGTCTTACTCGTCATGATGCGGTAAGGGGTTAATAATATTACTATTAAATTACAAAAACTGCAGTTCACTTAAAAAGAAAAAGAAGGAAAAGAGAAACAATTAGGATCCCACAAAAATTCTACGTGCGACCATCGAGAGTTTATTATATGTACGTTCTCATTTTAATTATATCATTATTGCATTACAAGAACTATAGTTCACTTAAACAGAAAATGAAAGGAAAGAGTAACGATTAGGACCCCATAGGAATTTTACGCGCGTCATTATCGGGAGTTTATTTTATTTACGTTTCCGAAGATTTCGCCTGCGCGTTGCAAGAGGAACGCAAGGGTCCCGTTACGGCCGGCAGCTTTACATTTATATGAAACTTCCTGTGGGTAGAACACTTACGGTGTATGTCGAGCTTCCATCCGTCCTCCAACTCGGAATCCAGGATATCCGGCACGCTGCCGTGGCAGGAGAGGAACTTCCCGGCGTCCTCGATACTCGGCACGAAGGTGAGAATACTGGTGGTGACGTTGTTGTCGGGGCTCATCTACGGTATAGCTTTCATGAATTTCAAACAGTTTACCGAACGGTTCGGTAATCAGACCGGCGATGCTGGTGGCCCGACAAAAAAAACAATGACGCTCCACGTGACGCTAGCCCCGAGCTCTGCCGGTCGCTTTACCGGAAGTCGATCCCCTCCGGTGCGCGATCGACTTGCGGGGCGTTTAGAGATTTAGCCTGATCTTTCGACAATATTCGAGGGAAAGGTCGTCTACTCTGATCGAAAATATTAGGGTGGCTCGCGAAGTAACGATGAGTTTTGGAACTTCTGCTTGGATTACATTTTCCTGTGTGGAACTATTGAAATGGTTAATTTGGTCATTTAAAGTTATTTTATTAGATAATGTAGATAACGTTTGTAACAAAATTAAAAAATTAAATTTTCAGATATCTTCTAAGTTTACTGAAAAATATTCTTCATTCTAGTGCAAACATTATTGAAACCTGATATACTACTCATTCTATTTTATAATTTATCATTTATTCATATAAATCAATCACTTTTTTCTTTGGTTTATCAAATGTCTTTGAAAGATACTTCTTGTGACTTAAGAGTTCTCAAATTCTTACTTTGTTTTAAATTTCACAGGTGAAATGAGAGCGTCGAATATTATTATGATGCGTTCATAATGTCGATCATTCCACTGACCATTATCACGTAATAAGAGTCACGTGGATCAGCATAGGAAATCGAGCAGGAGAAATATTTGCGAAGAATTCGGTCCGTTATTTTCGTGGAGCCGTTGAATTAAGGCGGGCATTTCACGGGTCGCCCGGTGTGCTCCGGCGTAATGACAATTTAACAAAGATTTACCGTCTGCCGTGCGTTTCGCAGCGTAGTGCTCCCCTTCGACCAGATAATTTTTGGCGTCGGTCTGGCCCCAACAACTTCGCAACCTATTTCGTACGTGGTGCCAGCGCTAAATGGACGGTTCTCTCCTTGCATGCGGACCCACAATGGCTTCACTAAAACACACGTATCATCCATTAGTCCTTCTCTCTCCATACCGCTCTATTTTGCTCTAGTGTTTGGCTATGGAGGTAGAACTTATGACACGGGAAGGAAGATTCTGCGCGCGAATAATTGTTTCCATAATTATTGCGAATGGCAAGGGTTGTGTCAATGGGTAAGTTACCAGTTTCAATTTCTAAGACCAATTTAATTACAGAAATAGTATAATAGATATGATTGTCGATAATAACACTGTTCAACATGATTTTTGTTCTGTAATAGCCATTATGTGATTTTTATAATGTTCCTTGCCTTAAATAGGAATCCGTAAACCAAATTGCTGGGTCACATCCAGTTTTCGAAAAACATGGGTTTTTGTAAAAACGGTCGAATTTTTTAAAAAAACAAGTGTTACGTGAAAACTAAAAACGATAGGCAGTTATAATTTATTGTAAAAAATAGAGGAAAAATGCCCGAATATGTACCTATAAAAATTTTGAATATTTTGTATCATTAAATGCTTATAAATGAATTCGTGCTTGCCAACACACTTTTTGTAGAAATGTAACAAAAGTGCGTACAAAGCACGCGCATCTTCCCTTTTTTAAACTTTGATCATCATTAACAAGCATTTAATGATACGCAATATTCAAAACTTTTATAGCTACATATTCGGGCATCTATCTTCTATTTCTTACGACAAATTTTAACTGCCTATCGTTTTTAGATTTCACATAACACTCTTTTCTTTAAAAAAATTCGACCGTTTTTACAAAAACTCATGTTTTTCGAAAACTGGACGCCACCCAACCATTTAGTTTTCGGATTCGTATTTAGAACCAAGGAATTCTACAAGAATAATTTAGTGGATATTACAAGACACAAAAAAAGTTAAAATTTAAATAAAAAAGTTGAAATTTATTCAAACAAGGTATAAATAACTGGTATTATAATTTGACAAAACATGAATATTAAAACTGTACAAAATATAAATAATTAGTATTGAAACTATACAAAATATAAATAACTAGTATTAAAACTGTACAAAATATAAATAACTGATATTAAAACTGTACAAAATATAAATAACTAATATTAAAAGTGTACGAAGTATGAATAATTGAAAAGGAAAATCATCGTCGTACATTTTTCGAAAAATTGTCCTTTGAATTATTTAAAATTGCAGCGATGCAATGAATGTCATATGTCCGATAGTTTATGTTCGCAGGATGCTTACGGTTCATATTCAGGCTGACAGAGCTGGATATCGGGGCCACCATGTTGTTGTTGGACGCCTGACAGGTGAGGATCGCGTTCAGATGCTCGCGGCCCAGTTTCTCCAATCGCAGAACATTGCGAACCCTCTTAGTGCCAACGGTCTCGTAGCTCTCGTCCAGGAGCGCGTTCTCCTTCCACCACGTCACCCGCGGCTGCGGCCGACCTGCACGGAAACGGGACAAAAAGACGGAAGTCGGTTAGAGCGATCTACTCGTTTCCGGCGTCGATTCTTGCCGTTGACTCGGCTGACTCAACCCCTTTTCAACATTAAAAGGAATTCAATAAAGGGTCGACCTATTCCCCGATTTTTATCTCTTTACTCCTCGCGATACATGCGCATCTATTCCTTGTATCCGGACTTCGAATTTTAAAGGTTCCCAACGTTTCTGAGTGGACGTGCAATAAAACTCTTTAAAGTGACGCCAGTTCAATTTTCGACAGAAATTAATATATATTGTGTAGAATGTACAAGAGTTTCTAAAACAGTTAAACTTCACATTTCAAAATCGATTTGAGCACATCTTCGCTTTGTAATAAAGCTTAGTTTTCATTTAATATGGTTATACCGCATCGTGTTAACACGTTAAACGCCACGCCGGTCCCTAGGGACCGGCGTTAGACTTTTCGTTCAGGCGCGGCAGGTCCATGCGGACTTTAGGTTCATATTACACGACCGCGCGTGTCGGTCCTTACGCACTGATGTGAGACTAAATATTTTGCTTAGGCGACATCGGTTTTTGTTCACTCAAGGCTTGACAAAAAAGAATATAATATTTAGAAAAAGTTAATGTAGTTTATTAAAACAGGGTAAACAGAGGTGTGGTTTGCTTTTACATTCATTGCATAAGGTGCTAACTTTTTGTGTTAAATTCTTTGCCACCTTTGAACCTAATATTCGGGAATTATTATTATAACATTGAGAAAACTCCGGTCCTCAAGCCGATATTTCGGCTGGTCCGTCAGTGGTGACGGCCGCGTCTGGTCCTGAACGGAACGACAAGCAAGTCGGGCTGGGCACTTAACGTGTTAAATATGTATTGATGTATAATATAATGAATGATAAATATAATTAGTTCCATGGAAATAGGAAATACCGTTCGTCGGAAGATAAAGATGTACGCAAGTCGATTTCTAGATCGTTAAATTTGGCTATTTCAAAAAGCTTGGTACATTCCAACAGAGATTGGATGGGTGGAATAGGGAGAAGTAATAAGAGGTGCGTCCTTTTGGAGAGAGAGAAGAATTTCAGCGGTTATCAGGGAAGAAGTAAGGTTCAATAAGTATCCAAACTCCAATATCCGTTGGCCAGGTGATCGATTGCAATACGCTCAGGTGAAAACACACATTTTTGCCTCATTGCAACCCTCTTTGCGAGACGGCCTCTGGATATTGCAAGCGAGGCGTATTATAATTCAACACACAAAAGGAAGTATAACATTCCATTTGGGAAATACACCGAAATTCTGCATTGTACGAATGGAAGTTATAAAATGTATCAAATAAATCAATGTTACTGTACAGTGTAAATATATTTCTTCTGGCACTCTCGTCACATCAAATTACTGAAAAATTAACATTAACAATTCACCGATTCAACTTCAGCTAAGCGCCAAATAAAACGTTAGCCCATTCATTTAACAGCTGAAAGCCAATACAAAAATTAAATGAAATTTAAACGTTGTTTCAATCTTTTGTAAAACTGTCCATCGCGGTTCAGCGAATCAATTGCGCGCGTGTCAATTTATATCGAGAAAATTCGGAAAAAACCAATTCTCGACTGAGCGACCAAAAAGTTCTTCAAAAAATCCCATTTTCCAATATATCGAAACAAATTCCCCTAAAAAAAGGAAAAAAAGATTCACGTTGTCTAACCCTTGAATAACA